GAGAGAGAGAGAGAGAGAGAGAGAGAGAGAGAGAGAGAGAGAGAGAGAGAGAGAGAGAGAGAGAGAGAGAGAGAGAGCTGCCGACAGGGACAGAACTATAGACATGGAGGCAGACAGACAGACAGATGGACCAGACAGCCCTACCAACCTACCCACTGACAGACTGATGGATTACCAGAGCACCAACCAGGTGCTCGTTCCTTTGTGACTCACCAACTGAGAAAAATGAAAACAGAACACCAGTTTTATGCCAAGTGACTCACACATCAAGGGTTCTGCAGAGGAACTTCACTACACGGTAAGACCATCCGCACTGCACTATAAAGAGAAAATCACCAGAGTCTCATCCATCAGTTAGTTGTTGTTTCTTCGCCATAGAACCACCGTCCAAATGGCAGCCGCTGCACCGCCACTGTCACTGCTGGCACTCATCCCCACCATCACTAGTACTTCGCTCCCATCATCATCATCATCATCATCATCATCATCAACAACAACAACAACAACAACATCAATCATCATCATCATTAATCGTCATGACCATCACCATTGCCATCGGGAACACCATCATCAACATGGTCATCATAACCGCCATCCTTGGCTACTGCTTTCTCCTACTTTCTTTGGCTTTCAATGTTGCACACATTCAGCCAAAATTCACAAGGTACCATTGGTACTGAATCTACTGATGTCCCACCATCATCAGTACTAATTTCAGAAGGACCTGTGCTCCTTTTCCTCTTTCAACAGCCTCTGGCAATGGGTGAGTGATGAACATTTCCAAAAGTAGGTGTGTTCCTTTTCCTTTCTGGGCCTTTTGGCTAAGATCAATATTACTATCCGTTCTGCTCAGTTTAATATCGGATCCGTGGCCTATCTGCAAGGCTCGAGGCCTCGGCGGCGCCCAGCAGGGGCTGTCTGCACCAAAAAGTGAAGGGGCTCGGCTGTAGAAGTACCTCTCGCAGGAAAAGTAGGTGTCAGGCATATGGAAGTGGCACACGCTGGCTGTCCAGAAGCTTCTCACCGAGGAGGCAACCCCCAATGAGCCCAACACGGCCTCGCTTCTCTTTGATAAACCCATTGCAGGCTGTTGCTGAGGGACATTCCTTCGGGGCACAAGTTGCTTGCCAAGCAGCACTAATATTAGCACAGCCTCAAGACCCATTAGAAAGTGCGCTAGAGTGGCCCAGCCAGCAGCAGCCACAGCTGCACCTGATGGTTCAATAGGAGGCACTGGTGCTCCGGAGGACGATGGGAAGAGGACAGTGACGAGATGTGGGACTTACCTAAGGCTGGGTGATGGGCACACATCATCATCGTCTGAGGCATTGTTAGGCAAGCAGATAAGCGGACAGAGAGAAGAGAGAAGAGAGTAAAGCTGGATACAGTGTAGAGTAAGTAGGGAAGTAGTATACCTGGTTACAGCATAAGGGAACAGCAAAGCTATTGTTGTTTGCTGTTTGGACGAGTGATGTCAAGCTTTCATTTTCAAGAAACTTCAGCACATTTGTGTTCTCATTTGGTGTGATCTTGACCTGTCAACCTGCTTTCGACTTCGCTCTCATATGCTTGTTATATTCCGCGCCTTTGCTGCTGATGAAAAATTGTGTTCCCGCAAAGAGGTTCCTTGCAATCTGGTCTCAGAGTGTGGCTCCCTAACCGGTGCCCCTAGCCTGGCAGGTCAGGACAGATGGTGCCAGCGCAGGCCTTCCAGCAGTGTTGCTCACTTTCTCGCCGGCGAGTGCCCTTGCATCATGGTAGAAGGACGCATCAGGCAGAGGTTACACAGATCATATGGCAATTCAAAGGGAATATATTGATGCTTGCCGTTGCATGGCAGATTCATGTTCGTGGTGCCTGAGCAAGACTGGTTGCTACATGGCGCATCAAAAGTTGGTGAGATCATATCGTGGTTGGGGGCAGCAGCATCGAGTAAATGTCTCTAACCATATCTACTTTCCATATTTCTTCTTAACGTGAGGAGCGTTTTACTTGCCAGTCCTCTCATCTCTGTGGCGAGCGCATGGTACCTTGAGAGCCGCCTTCTTCTGGCCTATAGAATGAGCGCTGCAGCAGAAAGCTGGATGGCCAGTTGCAATGTTTGCACTCCTCGAGAGTGCCAGGCCATCCACAATAGGCTACTTGTGCCCAGGGGAGGGATGCTTCTTGTTAGACACAACTCACGAAAACAAACTATTAGTCACTAGTTAAGGGGGTGGGGAGAGCCGGTGAACGTAATCGAAATGGATGCCAGTTAATTACCCGACTGAATTTACTTTGTCAATTTCCGCACCGTTTTGTTTCTTTGAACGACATTCGCGGTTTCTCTTTGATTAGTTGTAGAACAGGCTGTTTGTGTGTTCGTACGGGCAATGTTAAATTTAGTTTGTGAGTCTGCCTAGTCTGATTAATTTACTTTGTCCGCAAACAGCTGGCAAAAAAAAAATTTGCACCGTTTACGCATGTGTAGCAACACCTGTGAAACTATTCCAAGTCTTCTTGGGTATATATTACTATATACTGCCAAACATAAACCCAGTTAGCTACTGGACGGTGGAAGGCAAGTATAGCGTGCCTTGTGCCGGGTGAGTAGCTATTACTATGGTATATGAGTGGTCAGGCAATGGCAAGAGGGAAGGAGAGGCTTAAGGAGTCAGACTGCTAGATTACCTGTCGTGTTTCAACGACTGCCTGGCGGGGGTGAACGGGAACTTCGGCAGGGACAGCAAGCAGCATGGTCAGGGATGGACTCCGGGAGTTTATGGCCTTCTCAATCTGCAGCTTCGGCTGCTACTCATCCAGTTGTGTCTACTCAGTCTGTAGGCAGTACAGTTAGTATGTCTGCAGCAGACCTCCGCATACAGCAGTTAGTAGAAGGACTTAAAGAGTACCAAGACAAGAGAAAGATGAAGAACTTAGAAAACCAGGCACATGCAAACAGCAAGGTGAAGGATATAAGGGAGTTGGAGACTTGGGGCCACTATCAGCAGACGCAGCTGTCAGAGAAAAGACCCTGTGCAATATAGTACTTGATCTGCAGAACCAAATGGGATCTATACAGTCTAAGTTAGACCTGCTCCTGGCCATGACAGTAGTGCCGACGACGATTGTGATCACAGAAAGGCCACAGGCCTCCCCTACCTGTCCTTCAGCCATAGTAGGTGCTAGCACCGCCTCGCAGGTACAGTAGAGACCAGCGGGATATCAATTTGGCATGCCTGGATCATCCTGGATGGTTATAACATCTGCGTCACAGGTCATGCAATAGATTTCTTCTGCCCCAGTGCTGGCCTCCTCAGGCCCTGCACCAGTGTTGGGTGCTACAGGCCCTTCGCTGCTGCCGTATCCCCCTTTCATAAAGACTGCCTTGGAAAAACCGGAACCTTTCTATGGGGACAAGGGTGAAACCTGGACACCTGGTTGAGGACAGTCCCAAAGTAGGTCAGGGTGAAAGAGACACAGCTAGACAGAGTTGCTACATGGGCGAATGGAGTGGGCCATGGGTGCAGGATTTGGGAGAAAACTTACCAACTGGGCGAAGACCCAGACCGTAGACAGCTTTGTGGATCTTGTAGAGCAGTGGTTCCGTGATCCTACAACGGCACAGAAGGCTACCAATGCGCTCTGCATGTTGGAGACTCATAAGTACCGGAATGTGCAGGCTGTCACTGAGAAGGTGAACCGCCTTATCCAGCGATATGATTCTAACATGTTATCTCAGATCTCTACCTAAGAATGTGAGGAATCTGTTGCCGAGTGAAGCCAACGCACAACATAATGACTCCGCTTCCCTCAGCAGCAAAGTGCTGGAATTAGAAGCAATGCTTAGGAATGTGAGTGTGACACTAGGGAGCACCAGTGGGAGTAAGAAGAAACTACCCCAGGACTGAAGGAAGACTGGACACTTGTTGTACATTGATGCAGATGGGACTCAGCAAGAGATAGAGCCTTCAGACCTGGGTAAAACAAAGCAAGAGGAAGGTGGTGGTGAGCCTAGTAAAGAGAGAGAGGTAATCGCTGCCTTGCAGTGTAGGGAAATTGGTCCCAAGGGGAAGGTCAGCAAAGCAGGAAGTCCAAGCCAACCGCAGCGTGGGTGAAGGACGGGCTGTCCAAGGTGGTCTGGTTAGAAAGGCATTACCAGGGTAGGTGTATGAAGTGTGGTGAGACCGGCCACATTAAGGAACGCTTCCCCAAGAGCCAGCAGGAGAACAGGACCGGCCAGTAGAGGCTTTAGCCACTCTTTAGAGTCTGTAGAACTAGGAGAAGACGTCCTAGGAGGGCTACCAGGTTCTCCCTCACCCTCTTAGACATTGGCCAAGGCTACTGACCCTTCACCTACCCATTAGTTGTAGTCCGACCAGGAGATGCTCTGCTATAGAGACGGGACTGAATCCCTAGAGGAGCTAGAGAAAGAGGCTTCACAGGAAAATCTATCAGCATCCCAGGTAGCTAACAATTTTGTGTTTTTCAAATTTCGTACTTTGTGCAATGCTTTATGAGACCCAGTAGAAGAGGGCAAAATAGATAGCATCCACAATCATTTCAATGACTTGGTATCTTTCTTCCAAACTCGGTGCTGACCAATAAAAGTAATGGTCCACAGGGACAGTCGATTGTGGTAGAGGTGTGCACGGGTGGAAAAATGGCAGGTGCAGTTGCAGATCTAGGGTCAATACGCAACAACATTAATAGGTCTTGTGTGAAAAGACTGCGGGGGTCGGGGGTCGAGACCCAGGGAGGGCTTCGGGGGGCGGGAATGTGGGCCGGGGGTGGGGGCGGGGATCAGGGCAAGGGTCGAGGGTCCTCATAGTGCCAAAGTGGGAGGCCCTGCCGCCAGGGGTTGGGGGTAAGCGCGCGGGGACACGGGCAACGTTGAAGCGGGGTTCCATGGGGCAGGGGCTTCAAAAAAAAAGTACAGACCCGTGGTACACCCTTAAAAACAAAAAATAAAAAAGGTTCTGTCCTCTTCACTGCGAATGCAGGGACTCAAAAAAGAACTCTTACTTCCCACCCCCATCGTCCACCCCTGCACCGGGGTGTGGTGGTCAAACCTCAAGTCCAACTTGGCCGCCAAGGATCCCCACGTGAAAACACTGGTAGGACACAATGATGTGCTCTGCTATTGTCCACCGGCATTCCCATGCAAAAAACTGTAATTGAACTGCCTGTGCAGCAGCGCTGACACTGAAGAGTTAACCAACCCGATCGTCCTATTCCAGCATGAGGAGAAGATGGTGCGAGGAAGCACTGCAGAAGGGAGATGACCATAGCAGAAGAAGATCGTGAAGCTGAGATTTTGTGGTGGGCCCAATTGATGGATGGTGTGGGACTGGGGGAAGGAGGATTGCGGAACGGGAAGCAAGTTGGGCAGGAGAAGGGAGGGGTCATGAGAATGTGAAGGAAAGTAGATGAAAAAAATGGAACAAAATGGCACGCAACGAGCAACCCCCGGAGGTGGCGGGGTGAAGGGGGAGGGATGGGGATGCAATCAAAGATAATGAGAAATCACCTATCCGCGGTTACCCTCGGTTGTTCATCCACTGCAGCAGTTCCTTACAGAGCATGTAATAAGCAACCAAGAGATTCGGTCTCTCCTCAATGCCAGCCTCCTTTCCTCCAGCGCTCCAATTGCCTATGGTCATCAGTCTGTTAAACATGACCCAGAGGAGGCGATATTGGAGTGAGCAGCTTTACATAGAGAATCAGAATCATTAACATGCTGATGATCCACAAGAAGCACGGCCACAAGGAAAGAGGGAGAAGGTTTGGTGGGTGGGTGGGTAATAAGGGCTTGTATGTGCACAAAATGGGAAATCAGTGGACGTCAGCGGACGTGGGCAGCACAAATGCCAGAGGAGAAGGCCGATGACAGACAAGGGGGAGGCCAACACCTGTAAGAGATTAATAGCGGGCCATAAGAGGCATGGGAGAAGGAAAGGGGGGAGAGGAAGAGAGAAGGAAGAAGAGAAAGATGGAAGGAGAAGGAGAAGGAAAGCAGCATCCAAGGCACTCAACTTCTTGCGGAGGTTGTAGGAGCTCACAAGGCAAATCATGTACTCGCAGTGGACATCTACACCGCAGTTGTAACAACCTTTCTTATGTTTCAACTCGAAACCGTACACGGCAATCTCATGCAACCAGCGGGTCATGGATGAAGAGCTGGAGGAGGAGGAGGAGGAGAAGGAGCAGGATGACGAAGAAGAAGAACAGGAGGAGGATTATAACGAAGAAGAAGAGACGGATGAAGAGGAGGAGCACGAGAAGGAGGATGAGGAAGACGAAGACGAAGACGAGGAGGAGGAAGGAGTAAGAAGAAGAGGAGGAGGAGGAGGAGGAGGAGGAAAGAGAGCCAACGGAGGGGGCAGCGGCGATGGAGGCAAAGCGGTACGTTGCGAGGGGATGTGGGGTGTTGAGCGGGCAGGGATGGCGTTGTGGCGACGGCAGCGGGGTATTACGTGGACGGCGACGATAGAGATGAAGAGGATGAGGAGGAGAAGGATGGGAAGGACGAGAACGACGAGTCAGACTTAGCCGCGTCTGCACGCCCTCTTTTTTTTTCCCAATCAATCAATCAATCAAAATCCGATCCAATAGATCCACCATCACGCGCACGGAAAGAGAGAGAGAGAGAGAGATAGTAGTGGCATCACGTGGACGAACTCGGCAGCAATTTCGGTCAGGTTCATCCACGTTCACAAAGATAGGAAGAGAGAGAGAGAGAGAGAGAGAGAGAGAGAGAGAGAGAGAGAGAGAGAGAGAGAGAGAGAGAGATTTTACACACGTGAACCTTCCTGCCATTTCATCATGGTTGCAGCAGCCATCATGCGGCTTCCCAGCGGTCTCTCTCTCTCTCTCTCTCTCTCTCTCTCTCTCTCTCTCTCTCTCTCTCTCTCTCTCTCTCTCTCTCACACACACACACACACACACACAC